CTCTTTCCAAAATTTTTGAAAGTTGCCCCCCCCCCCCAAAATAAACCCCCCTTTTTGTTTTTTAATTTTGCCCCCCCCCCCCCCCCCCCCCCCCGGCTTCTCCGCCGTGGATGTCATGACTCACCATTCTCAAGTCTTCCGAAACCGACACTGTATCCAAGATGCCGTTCACGCTGTCCGAGCTCTCATTTCTTGTCACAGAGCTCACGTGCGTCAGCAGCTCCTTGTACCTCTGGTGGAGAGCAAAAACAGCAAGGAAAAAATCGCCACCAATTAATTCGCAAATGAAAAAATAGGACCAGGTATGCAAAGGGAAAAGTATACTTTGTGGTGCGTGTCTCATGCTGCCAGTCTTTACAGTTCACATGTATCTTGCTCCAAACGCGCAACCGGAAGTATTAAAAAAAAAGAGACGAAAAACACTCCAAAGCATGCTCACGCGAGACCAATGGGGCAAGACACACGCCACGACCACAACGAGCAAAAGAAAAAAAAAACTCGACTGATGTGCGTGTGTCACGCGTCCCTCAAGCCGCCGCTTCTCTACGTGGGATAGGGTGCGGCGTGCGATGGGTGTGGCGTATGAGAGGCATGGAAGATGCCTCCTCCGGCAGGCACACCAATGGGAGCAACACGGCGGCGCTCGCAGGGTCTGGCTGCCACGCGTGCGAATTGTCCTTTTGTACCGACCACCCCCTTGGGGGGCCACATCCATACAGCACACCAGCAGCGGAAAAAACCGAGACACGTTGAACGCCCCATCATGCAGAGGACAATGGCAAAAACACCCCCCCCTTCGACTACTGCTGTGGCTAGGCCTCCAATGGGTACTGTACGTAACGTGTCATTGATTGTAAGTATACCTCCTAAAAACATTCATCGAAAAAGCAAAAAAGGCAGGCAACTGCAAATTGACGCGGCGAAGAAGTTTACTGACAAGTGGAGTTTGTCTGCCAACGTTAAGAAGAGTGCCGTTATGGTATGCAACGAGGACAGGGAGGAACCAGTAGAATATAGATGGGAGTGGGGGGTTCGAGGAGAGTGCAGTAGTGGACCAGTGCACATACCTCGGAGTAGAGATCGCAAAAGACTGCTCGTGGAATGCACACATGTCCAAGGTAGCGGAAAAGGGCAAAGCACGAGCAGGGAAGCTGCACCCAATACTCGCGAACCGGCACCTCGATACACGCATCAAACTGACGGTTTTGAAGAGCGTAATCGTACCGCCGCTAGAGTACACCGGAGAACCATGGGAAGGAAATATAAAAAGGTAGTGAAAGAACTCGAGGCGGCGCAGATGAAAGCAGCGAACATCGTCCTAGGATGCTCCAAGCGCACAAGTAATGCAGCCGTCAGGGCAGAATTGGGGATGCAATCCCTACGGTCGGGAAGAGACGCAAGAAAGCTGACATGGCAGCATCGCATGTGCGGGATGGGAGAGGAGAGGTTGCCGAGAATAGCATGGGAGGCGAAGTGGGCAAACAAAAAGAGGGGTAGACAACCCACGGAATGGGTCAAGGTTGTAGAGGACATATGGAAGGGGTTCGAAATCGACGAAGATGAAACGCTGGAAACGGAGGGTCTACAGGGGTTCAAGGAGAAGATATCTGTTGCTTGTGCCGAGAGAGAAGAACAGAATCGAAGGAAAGAAACCAAGGACAAGGAGGGTCTAGAAGTGTACGGAATGTTGAAAGAAGGAATAGGGTTCAAGGATTACCGAACTGCTAATCTCAGTTGATACCCCGCATAGCGCGAAGAGGGAGCGGAGGATCCCAGAATATCTGTCGTTGATTTCTATTGACTTGCGGACCCCTCGGGGCCAGTTTATTTGAGTGTACCTTTTTAGGGTAAGTTAACCTGTGACCACGGGAATCGACCGCGTCGAGTGTTGGATCAGTACGGACATACGAAGGTACTGGGTAGAGAGAGATCGGAACGGTTTTTAATGTGAAGACAACAACAACAACAACAACAACAACAACAACAACAACAACATGGACCTTCGAGAATATCGACGAAGACATAGGACGGTAGACGACGAAGACGACAAGTTCAAATGTGATTGCGGACGCGAATGCGAAGACCTTGTTCATGTAGTCGCGGAATGTCCGTGGTACGAAAAGGAGAGGGAAGTGCACATGACTGAGCTGGGAAAAATACAAGGGAGGTATAGGGAGATGTTTGAGGTATGGAGTAGAGAGGAGAAGGCGGTAGCTGTACTGGGGAGTAGGAAGTGGTTTGAACAGGCGGGCAGGGAAATCGTCAGGATAGATGGACTACAGAAGACTTTTTGAGCCACCTTTGGCAAAATAGGAAGGAACGATTGGCCATCGGTGATTGGTCCTGTGGGAACAATGTTCCGTCCTCTCGAGGACGACGCGTGGTCAACGGTCTAACCGCTAAGGCATGCAAAACATAAGAGCACGCCCCCCCCCCCCAACCCCACCCCTCTACCTGTTGCATCTGGTCGAACTCCCTCAGCAGGAAATGAATTCCGAACAAGGTGCTCCAACGCCTTGAACCGCCACTTTATCTCCGGACCCTTCTCCGCCTCCAGCGTCACCACCTTCTGGAACAGCTCCA